ACACTGGAACCTACATCTTTGAATATAAACCTTCTTCTACATTTCAGATTATTCCCTGAGAAGAAATCCTTTTTTAAAGATTTATTTTTATTTTTAAAGATTTATTTATTAGAGAGAAAGAGAACATGCATGCATGCGCACACAAGCAGGGGAGGGGCAGAGAAAGAGGGAGAGGGAGAGAGAGAGAGAGAGAGAGAGAAAGAATCCCAAGCAGACTCCCTGCCGAGTGCAGAGCCTAACATGGGGCTTGATCCTATGACTCATGAATGAGATCATGACCTGAGCAGAAACCAAAAGTCACATGCTTAACCAACTGAGCCACCGAGGTGTCCTGAGCATAGATTCTTAGATTTGAAAAGATTAGATTGATTCTCATTGAAGTCTAGATACATATTTACAAATTACCCCCAGCAGTGAAAGCCTCACCAAACTCTTGCCCATTGCTGCGTATGATAATCTTGTACATCATTGGCAAATTTCCTAATACTGTTCTTGCAAAAATCCTTTTTCATTGTATTAATATAAAGTTGGTGATCGTTCTGACCATCCTTAGTGTCATGGCTCCCACTCGCCATGGTTTCTTGATGATGGTCATTGTGGTGCCGCACAGCCATGTACAAAACACCTTTAGTCCTCAGAGTCTCATACTCTCTGTAATCATCTTGGCTTCAGCTCAGAGAACAGAAATGGAAGCCAAAAGGAGTTTGACATCTGCTCTTTTTCCAAACATGAAAACAAAAAAATTAGTTGGCCCACTTTTATTATTTTCAAGTTTTACCTCATTTGTGACTGAGGCTTCTTTGGCATCACATTTAGAAAGTTCTACTTTATTTTTATGCTTTTTATTCATAATTATTCCCGCTTTCTGTCTTCAGGATATACTCTTTAAAAAACCTTTTTCTTGAAATATAGCATACTTGAAATATCACATGAACACCTCAAATGAATACTTCATATATATGAATCATAATGTATGATACTCTCTTAACATTTCTGCATTTTCCAGTTTTTCAATAAAGCAATTGTTTATTTTGAAAGAGAGTTCTTTCAGCATTAAAAAAAGAAAGGAAAGGAAGCACTTGTCCTAAAGAGAAAGTCACAGCAACCCAATCTTCTTTCTTTGAGAGAGTTCTCAGCTGATAGATTAGGGAAATGCAGTAGTTAGAGTCTGAGTGTCTGAAGTGAGTCTGACTGTATTCTCAAGCTATTTTGGTGGAAAGACACAGAAGTAGGATCCAAGCGCATAAGCAGTTGAGGAGGTGAGTAGTTAGATAACCAACAAAAATTCTGATGAGCAATGAATGCCAACCCAGAAGGCAGATTCCAGAACATGTCACATAGCTTTATCAATGGCATTTTCCAGGTTATAACTTATATTAACGATCTGGATAAAATTATAGGAAAAATATGTTCAAAAACTTGTAAATGGTAGAGAATATAATGGCAGACTATAGCAATCAGATCAATGAAGATGGAAGTCAACAGGGAAATCAGTATATGACTCTGAACTTGGATTCCAGAAATGCAACCACATTTTTGTATGTAGAATCAGGCACATTTTTTTTTTGTGTGGGGGAAGGTTGATGGCACATTCAGCATGATCAATGAAAAAGTGAGATGTTGGCTATGTTAATAGAAGCTCAGTATAACTAAGGAAAATAGAAAATCGTTATAATCTAGATAATCATATATTGACAAAACTGAAAGTGGACTGCTGCTTCCTACTCTAGACCCTTCTTGTTAAGAGAGACAAAACTGGAGGATGTCCCAGAATGAATAGCAATATTGGTTCAAAGGATTTGAACTTTAATCATCTGAGGAATTGTTGAAGAAGAAGAATGTTAATGGACATGAGAACCATCTTTCAATATCCAGATATCTTTTGTATACAAGCAAGGGCAGACTTTCTTTGGTTTGAGGAACAGAATCAAGACCACTGGGGAGTCATACTTGAGTTTATTTGAAGATACAGTTTCTAGCATTAGAGGTATGCCTAGAGAAAATAGACTCTGCTGTAGATACTACCATTTCTTCTCTACTTCTGGGTGCACAGAGGACTCCATTTCTCTATCTCACTTAAGTTGGGCATGGCCGTATGACTGGTTCTAGCCAATGAAACTTGAGTAAAGTGAGTGTAACTTTTGATACAAAGCATTTAATTACGAGTGCCAAACTCCAGCATTTTTTTCTTCCTGCCTCAATGAACGGTGAAGCCTTGTGTTAAAATGGAGGTAGACACGAGCAGACATTTCTCTGAAGAAGACATACAAATGGCTAACAGGATGAAAAAATGCTCAATATCATCATCATCAGGGAAATACAAATCAAAACCAAAATGAGATACCACCTCGCACCAGTCAGAATGGCTAAAATGAAAAATTCAGGAAACAACAGATGTTGTCAGGCTTGCAGAGAAAGGGGAACCCTCTTACACTATTGGTGGTAATGCAAACTGGTACAGCCACTCTGGAAAAAACAGTTTGGAAGTTTCTCATAAAGTTAAATATAGAACTACCTTATGACCCAGCACTTGGATTACTAGGCTTTTATCCAAAGGATACAAAAACAGTGATTCAAAGGGGTACATGTACATGTTTATAGCAGAAATGTCCACAGTAGCCAAAATATGGAGAGAGCCCAGATGTTCATCAACAGATGACTAGATTAAAAAAAAAAACAGATGACTAGATAAAGAATGGAATATTACCCATCAAAAAGAATGAAATCTTGCCATTTCCAGTGACGTGGATGGAACTAGAAGGTATTATGCTAAGTGAAATAAGTCAGAGAAAAACAAATACCATATGATTTCACTCATATATGGAATTTAAGAAACAAAACAGATGAACAGAGGGGAAGGGAAGGAAAAATAAGATGAAAACAGAGAGGCAAACCATAAGGGACTCTTAACTGTGGGAAACAAACTTAGGGTTGCTGGAGGGGAAGTAGGTGGGGGGGATGAGGTAATTGGGTGATGGGCATTAAGGAGGGCACTTGATATAATGAGCACTGGGTGTTATATGCAACTGAGGAATCACTAAATTCTGCCCCTAAAATTAATAATACTCTATATGTTAACTAAATGGAATTTAAATAAAATTGTTTTAATTTAAAAATTAAAAATATTTAAAAATGGAGGTACCAGCCTTGGTCTCTAAGTGACTATAGTGGTTACAGTATCCTCCAACCACTACCACTACCCCATTTCAGACCCATTCCTGCACCTACACTGGCCATATTAGTTTGAGTGGGAAGTATACCTTTACTGTTTATGGCCACTGAAATGAAGTTCATATGTTTTATACTTCTCATAACCCTGTACTATTGATGTAGTATTGTGATTTCTTAGATGAAGTACATTTTTGGTCATTCAGGTGAATTTCCTAAGTGTCAGTAGCAATAAAGGTGTCATTTGTAATGTTAATGAGGGTGACTTTTGGACCTCACCCAAGGAAGTAGCTGTTGCCAGGAGGATCAACTTCTGATTAGAGGGTTGGAACTTTTAGTCTCACAGTCCTATCCAACACCCAGCCTACTGGACTTCTGGGGAAAAGTGAGGGGCTGGAGGTTGGATCAGCCAATAACCAATGACTTAGTCCATAATGACTATGCAGGGAAGGCTCCACAAAAATCCAGAAGGACTGGGTTTAGAAAGCTTCTGGGTAGGTGACCACATGGAGATTGGAGAGGATAGCCTTCTGGAAAAGGCATAGAGGTTCTCCACCCCTCCCCACATACCTCACCCTATGCATCTCTTCCATCTGGCTATTCTTGAGTTACATCCTTTTACAATAAACTGGTGATCTGGTAATATATTCCTCTGAGTCTGTGAGCTGCTGTAGCAAACTAATTGAGCCTAAGGAAGAGGTCATTGGAACTTAGCATCTGTAGCTAGTAGGTTAGAAGAATAGGTAACTATGCTTGTACCTGGCATCTGAAATGGAGAGTAGAAGACAGTCTTATAGAACTGAACCCTTAACCTGTGGAATCTGATGCCATCTCCAGGTAGACAGTATCAGAACTGAGTTGAATTCTTAGATACCCTGCTGGTATCTAGAGGATTGTTTGGTGCTGTAGAAGGGGAGGGACACCTCACACACATAATAGAATTGGGTCCAGGAACCCTCAAAGACCTAACACAAGTGCCTTCAATATGGATTGATTTCTTATGAGTGCACAGTAGCAAGACACATATGATTCTTGAGACACACACACTTGCATTATTTGCCCTTTATTTTCATTGCTTCACTAGATTCAGACTACTGCTGAGGGTATAGCTTAGTCAACTGGAATTTTCAACTGGTTCTAGAGCCTCCAGGGAGATGATCCCAATAAAGCAGGCTAAAATTATTCTCCTAAGCACACTCTTCTGTACCTCAACTACATGCCCAGTAACATCACAAGTTTATGGATTTTGTCCACTTGGGGAACAGCCAACAAGAACTAGATAGTTCACCCAGCAAAGATTTTATTGCTGTGCAAACATACACACAAAACATTATCCATGAAACCTGTGAGGTTCATCAAAGATCTCAGGGCCAAAGTGACTTTTTGAACGTGAACTTTGCAGTTTGATTCTTACACGTTCATATTGACTGGACTGTTGCCAAGTGTCTGTTTCAGGCTGTACTGATAGATAGATTATTTACTTATAGTTTCCCAGGGATGCTCTTGGGGCCATCAACTAGCTCATGCCATAGTATACTCACTTTGTATCATTGTTAAAGTTGTGCTAGGTAGTAGCAGCATCTGATATGTTTAGAAGTGGTTCTGTCTGGAAAAGAAGCTCATGAGGTGATGGCAGCCAGGAAGTGAAAGGAGCCAAGTATGTATCTAGCTTGAAAAAAAAAAAAAAAGAAATAGAATTAAAAGGTGATTCCAGTGGGGGAAGAAATGAAAAGGACAGATTTAAGATTATAACTAAAAAATATACGTATTTTTTATATATAACAATCAAACCTGCAACTAATTAACTGGAACCTCATTTCTGTTGTTCACAGGAGACCAAAATCAACTGCGTTCGCCTGGCTACAAAAGGTATGTTGGCATGTCCTTGTCTGTCTTCAGCTGTTTAAGCATTTCTCCTTGTAGCTACACAGGGAAAGTTGAGCCAACAATTACTAAAAATAAAAGAAGGAATTGTTATTTTCATTGGAGTCATTTACATCTAGGTATTAATATATATAGTGTATATTAATAGCACAGTGCCTAAAGCATAGTAAGAGCTCAAAACATATTTGTTGAATCAGTGGATGGATGGATGGATGGATGGACAGATGGTTGGATGAATGGACTGGTACATTTAATCAATAGGGTGGTGAATATAAATTTTTACTCATTCTTCTATATATTTTCATTATATTTGGGTCTGTGTTTATGTGGGTATTTTTTTAAGTATGTCTATCAGATCTATCTTTCAAGTTTTGTACTTTTTTTCAACTAAGTTTGGCTTTCACAAATGAGGTGATAGTTTTGGTGCCTTTAATAATGAGAAAACAAACGCTGCATTGTTATGTAGTTGGCATTTTCAATACTTATCCCAAAACCTAAGGCAGCATTGTTCAGGCTCATCACTTTTTGTTTTCCTAATTATAATTGAATTGCCTGGCCCTTTCAATTGGTACATGTTTCTGTTTATTACTTTTTTAAAAAAAAATCAATGAATGGTTTGTTATCATTTAACCTATTACAAGGTTGAATGGCTAGAAATCAGGTTTATCTTTTTTGTTATAGAATGGATATTTTTAACAGCCATTGTCTCCACATAAACACAACAAAACTGGACAATTCTATTGTTCCCTGCATTTATCGACAGCCCAGATAGTTATATAGGATGCTTCCACAGAGATGACAATTATGAATATAAATATAATATATATGCATATAATCATAGACATAAACCATGAACAAAGATGATGACCCCAGTGTGTATATGTGAACATATATGCATATGCACACTCATGCGAGGAAAATGCACACATGAGTAGGGGAAGAAGAAGAGATGAAGGAGTGGGGAGAGAGGGGGAGAAGGAGGAGAATATCTATGTTATTTGACAAAATATACACCAAAACCTATCACTCGTGACTTTCATAACTTTGAAGAAAACCAGCTCAATGTGTAGGCAGAAGAGGGAAGATGATACAGGAGGGAGAAGACAGAAGCAGTAAGGACTCACCATGATAAGAACTCACTCTGATTTCACATGTCATGAGAGGCCAGTGTGTCCCTCACTTGTTCACTCTCAGGAACTCAGGCTACTGGACAGAAAGAGATAAAATGCTCTTTGTGAGGCAAAGAGAATTGATGGCCTGCAAACAAAAGTGGCACAAATCACAGGCCTTGGCAGACTTTCCCACTGAGGAAAACAGATAATCCAGAAGGAAGAACATCAATAGCACTGGAGCTCCAGACTGCAAGTAGGACAGCTGAGTGTCTGCAGTGTCCTGCTTAAAGGGGCAGTCAGGGAAAGAAAGAAACTTATAGGGAGACCTCCTTCACCCACTATGATGGTGCTCTGTAGCTCCCCTCCAGCTTTTGACTTCTAGATAAGGGAGGGGTTGATGTGATTCCTCTCCCCTCCACAGGGGTGTGGAATTCTAGGGACCCCCTCTGGGACAAAAACCCCCCGCACAAAGGGTACCTTCTTAGATCTTATATTCCAAGTTGGACATTAGGAACACAGGGTTGGATGGGCAATAGGTACATGGGGAGGCTTTTTGAGAGAATACTTAAAAGTTTACTCCCCTGGTGATTTTACAAATATAGAGGCTCACCATGCCATGCTTCTCCAGAGCTGCATTGCTTCTCTGAAGGAGAATTGCAGTAGTCTTTAAAGAGCTAGAGAAGAGAGCTCGTACCTCTTCATAGCATAAAGATCTCTCCTCCTGTTTGACCTTTAGGATACAATCTTCCTCCTTAGTGGAGTGTGTGCCCACAGAGCATGTAGGTGTTTGGAAGGATGAGAACAAGTGAATGAATGTGAATTTGCAGCTAGCTGGCAAAGCCCCAGCCAGGCAGCAATGAGTCAGAGGTAGATTGACACACTCACTTTCCAGATCTGCAAGGGCTGTCATGTTAGCCCGGAGGGACAGAGTTCTGGAAGCACCTAGAATGGGACAGAAAGCTGGACAAGGCAGAATGCCAGACTCAGAGAGTCCGGGGAGTTAGCCGTCTCAGCACTACCTCAGATAAGAGGATACTTGTTGGAAAAAAAAAAAAAAAAAAAAAAAAAAGCTGAGAAAAGACAAAGGAAAGGAGACCTGTATTTGGTTAGTGTCTTCTCTGTATCTCGAATTAGCCCAGGAGCGTCCAGAATTGTTTAAAGGCAAACCCTCCCTAATTCCATGCACTGCTTATGAGGACTCTATCAAGGATCTAAGGCAGAAATCCATATTTGACCCATCTCTTTCCTGAATCAAATTTCTCGTTTTGTGGGTTTGCCAAAAACACTTTTCCTTTTAACAAAGGAAAATAAGATACTGGGAATCCCACAGGCATTGGCAGTATGTAAAGTGCCGGTGGCATATTCCACTGGTCACCCAGGTCCCTCCAAGCACTTCCACCTCCCTGTCATCATGGCACCTGCCTTCCGGGACTGCCAGTGGGCATCCAGCTCTGGAGTGTGATCACATGTGTAAGCTTGAGGCCACCACTCTGGTGATGAATCAACTGGCTGGTGTTTCGTCCCTGACCCTGGTGATTCCAGATGATGTCCGTAGTCCACTGTGTGAGTCCCGCAGAACTGGAGGGTTCCCACACAGGATGTAACAGCCCCCAGCACTCAGGCAGGGCCATTCTGACCTGTCCCTGAGTGCAGTGCCTCTTCTGTTAGATTCCACACCTGGTTCCAGCATGGGGCTCTAACCCTTGTCTGTCTGTAACATCCCTGTTAGTCACCCAAACTCTAAAGTAGTGCTGCCCAGTATGGAGGGTTGCAAAGCAAGAGACCTGGATTAGTCTTCTGTGGCTGCTATACCAAAGTGCCACCAGCTGAATGGCTTAACCACAAAATTTCTTGTTTCACGGTTCTAGAGGCTAGAAGCCTAAGGTTAAGGTTATCAGTAGGGTTGGTTCCTTTGAGGTCTGTGGGGGAAGGATCTGACCCATGCCTCTTCCCCAGCTGCTGATAATCTTTGATGTTACTTGGTTTTCATCTTCACATGGCATTCTCCCTGTAGGCATCCAGTGTTGACATTTTCCCTTTTTCATAGGGACACTGGTACTGTTAGATTAGGAGCCCCTCCTACTCTAGTTTGACCTTGTCCTTAGTTAACTAATTAAATCTACCAACCCTATTACCAAATAATGTTCCATTCTGAAATACTGGGGGTTGTGACTTCAACATAGGAATTGGGAGATGGATGCATAGTTCAACCTGTAGCAGGACCCATGCAATTAGGGGTAGTATCCTTGTGGTTTCTATGGGGGCCTCTGACTATTCGTTATTCATGGTATAATCTCAATAGGCTTAAGGGTATGCAAGGAGCAGGAACCAGCCCTGTTAGAGGGGGCTTAATGGTGGGCTAGGTCTATATTTGACTGTTGTTCCCTTGAGAAGCCGAGGGAGGTTGCTTTGGCAAAGGAGCTGCAGGTTCTGTGGAAAGAGACCTGGGCAGAGGGTAAACACAGTGGGCTATCTGCACCTGATGGCTAGGTCTGTGACAGTAGGACTCTTTTCAGACCCCACATGATAGGGGAGCATCAGGTCCCAATCCAGTCATGTTTCTGGGGCCTGTGCAGGTCTCATCTACTGGGGCAGGCATCACCAGTGCTGATTGAGAGGATCTCTGATGAGGGGCTCCTTGGTCTTAACTATAAATTTCCTCATCACATTTTGCCATGGCAGGAAGTTTCTGGCACATCGTTGGCACTTGAAAAATACCTGCTAGAATGAGTAAATGCATTTGAAGCCAGCATCTCACTGTAGCAAGGGTCAGAGATCTTGAAAGCCTCACTTCATCTTCCTGAGACTCAGAGGCACCATATTTAAAGTTATGCCCATCTATTCATTTACAGAACATTTTTTAACAGCAGTTTGATGATAAACCCAATCTTTGTAAAAGAAAACCCTTATTTATAGGCTTTATTGATTTCCAGGATATAACTATCCCCACCATGTCCAATATCGAGCTACCAAGGGTTTGACACTGGCTTGCAAAAAAAGTCAATGTTTAACAATAGGCTCTAGCAAGATGGTACAAGCCAGATCCAGCATAGGAAGACCCCCACCATCCAATTTGTTGGAGGATCAGATGGTACAATAAATGTATAAGTGTTGTGTTTACTATAAAGCGTTTTGGATGAAATTATTGTCGATGAAAGTTACTTCCTTTGTATAGTCAGCTCACCCAGCATCTGTGAGCTGCATACTTTGCAAGGAGCTGTGGTTTTATGGTGAACCAGCACGTGTGGTTCCTGTCCTCAAGGATCTCACAATGTAGTGAGGAAACAGACCTTACATAAATGATTTTAATAGATAATAGTAGAGTTATGATTGTGATCACTGCTTCCAAAAAGAAGTGAAATGTACAGAATGGAGACTAAAGTAACAATAGTACCAAAGGCTCTGTCTGGTAGTAATGGCAGGTACGTTCCATGTTCTGGGGCTCTGCTTCTCTGGGACCCATGTAGTCTAAGAGACTTGGTGTTTCCTTGTCCATCATCACCCCTTCTCATTTAACATTGGAAATTGCACTGGACCTGGATCAAGGGTAGGATTTGGGAGGTTGACTAAGGACCTCAGACTGTGAGAGGAGCCACACCCCTGGCCCAAAGCCCCTAAAGAGCCAAGGCCCCTGTATTTAGATAGTATTCAATGGGTAGATTCACATATCACCAGGAGGCACTGTTTATTTATAGAACCACAAATTGAAGGCACAGCTAAGGGACTGTGGGGTGGGAGTTTCGTATTTGCTAGTAGAAGGGATAATTCTAGGATCAGAACAAGCTCCCCTCAAAAGCCTTGAAGGTAGTCTTTTTCATTGGTGAGGGACTTGTTGGCCCTGCCCAGATTCACATTCATAATTACCTTGCTCCT